TACACCTCTAATAAAGGGTGTTTTGTAATTGTGTTCATATAGTTTCTGGGTTTGTCTTGGCAGGTAGACTTCCCAGTATTTTATATTGTCTGAAGTTATTTTAAATGAAATTTCTCACTCTTATCTCTTCCTACTTCCTACTTGGTTTTATTGGTAATTTCTAGAAATACTAATGATTTATGTGGATTTATTTAAATGCTGCAACTTGCTGAAGTTAATTGTTGCAACTAATTTTTAGTTGACTCTCTGTGTAAGCCATCATATTGTCTGCAAAGAGTCTGTTAACCTTACAGTTAGTGGTGACCTCCTCTTTGACTGGATCCATAGATGGGACTGGGGAGAGGAGATATTCAGAAGGCAGGAGGTAACCAGAACCTCGTCCTTCCCTTTGGTTTGTCTTCTTGCCTTCCGTATTCTAATGAGACAAGAGCGATAATACCATAAGGGAAGAGGCTGTCGACGCTTCTCCTCTATGGCTGGCATGTGGCCCTCTTGGACCTTGGACTCTTTGCCTTAGTGTCTGTTCTCTTGTTTCAAGTGAAAGATATTAGAGGTTGTGACCTAGTGAGTTTCAAAAGAACAGGAGAGTGAATCATTGGGAGGGCCAGGAGTACACTCTGTGCTGGAATTTGTAGACATTTGAAGGCCCTGATGATTGATGATTGATGATTGATGACCTTTGGAACCTAGCCCAAAGATAGTGGAGCCAAGGACTCATCCAATAGTGATGCAGCGTTGGATGCAAACTTGGTGAGGCCAAAGCTATGTAGAAACTGTTAAATTGAGCCCACTCTTCTCAGAGCTCAAGGTAGGACAAGAGAGAATGTGCTGGGGGAAATTTGTACTTCTGTTCAAGCCACATTCTGGAAGGAAAGATCTCTTCATAAAAGCTAAATGATTTTACTTGATTAAATTGGGCTGAGGTTCTAGTCACTGCCAGCTAACAGTATAGGGAAGCATACGGGGATTGGGGGTTGAGCCTTTAGCATTAGAGAAGAGATATTCCTGGAACCCTGTAGGAGAGATACAGCCAGCCTTGCTCTGGGAGAGTGAGGTTATAATATTCACTGCAATTATATTTCTAAATTAAACATTTCAACAAGTATTTTGCCAATTGCTTTACTATATGCCTTCTCTGGTCTGTGTGATGGGATCCAAAGACAAAATGAAAATTAGATCTCCTGAGGGGATGTGACATGTGCATATATAAGTCCACACTCTATAGTTTGAGGTAGGGGAGGATGGGAAAGGATTCTTTTTTTTATTTTTTTTTTTAAGGCAATTGGGGTTAAGTGACTTGCCCAGGGTCACACAGCTAGTAAGTGTCAAATGTCTGGTCTGAGACTGGATTTGAACTCAGGTCCTCCTCCTGACTTAAGGGCCAGTGCTCTATCCACTTCGCCACCTAGCTGCCCCGACGGGAAAGGGTTCTTGCAGAAGGCTGGTGGTGCTTGAATTGAATAGATGGTCCTACATCACTACAGAGAGCAGAAAGTAAGGTCAAGGGAGGAGGATTTTAGCTCAATGGTAAAGAGAAAATTCCGACAATTAGAATCATCTGACAATGGAATGCTCTTCTTTATGAGGCTGAATTTGCTGTCATGGAAAGGATTTGATTAGCTGTTAGATGATTTTGATTAGCTGGAGAACTCATACAAGGCAAGGACTCACATGGAGGTCAGAAGAAGTGATACAAGGACATTCTCACAGTATCTCTAAAGAACTCTGGAATTGGTTGTGAGATGTGGGAGACACTGGCACAGGACTGCCCAGTATGGCACGCCTGAATCAAAGAAGGCGTGTGTGTGTGTGTGCTGTATAAGCCAAGCAGAATTGCAGTAGCTCAAAAGAAGCATGAGATGCACAAATTTAGAAACCACTCCAAATGTTCAAATGAACCATGTGTGCCCAACTTTTGGTAGAGTGTTCTGAGCTCGTATTGGTCTGATCAGCCATAGTCAGACACACTGTATCTGGACTCCAACATGGTGATGTCATTTTGGTCCTCTTTGGGAACAAACAAAGGACAGCAACCAACCAAGATGGTCATCCTTTGGGGACACTGTAAAAGAGATTCCAGATCCGAATAGATGCCTTTGGAAGTCTTCTGCCACAGAGATTCTCTGACTAGGGGCTCTCAGCTCTCTGAGTAGCCATTTTTATACCCTTGAAGGATACGACTGTGTATGTATAATATTCCAATAATAATAATAATAACACCAACAATAATTCATGTCTCTACAGTTCCTTAAGATTTATAAAACACTTTACAACTAGTTTCTCATTTAAGTGTTACAACAACCCTGTGAAGGAAGGGCTATTATTATCCTCATTTTATAGATTGGGAAACTGAGGGTCTGAGAAATAAAGTGGCTTGCCCAGGGTCACTGCCCTGTCACATAAGTGTCTGAGGGCAGAATTTGAATCCAGAGTTTCCTGACTCCAAATCCAGAGGAATATAAACTCCCTGAAGGCAAGGATACTTTAATTGGTGTCTTTGCATCCCCCATGCCTTAAGCATAGCCAAGACTTGATTGATTGACCATGACTTACTGAATTGAATAGTAGTGTGGAAAGAACACCAACCTTGACTTTGGAAGATTTAGGTCTGAGTCGTGACTCAGATCCTTACTAACCACGTTGCTGAGATGGATGGCTTTAGAGGAAGTTTCACATAGGATAGCCTTGTCTGGAAGACCCCTGTGTGACTCTCCTCAGGCACTTACTAGATATCGTATGACTCTTAGCTTCTCTGTGCCTCAGTTCCCCTTTATGTGAAATGAAGGGATTGGACTCCATGACCTTTGACATCTCTTCCAGCTCTGAGTCCGTGATTCTGTGCCATATAATTTCATCTATAAAACTGGAACGAAACCTGCTGCTCCCCATCTTAAAGGGTTCTTGTGAGGGAAGTCCTTTGTGACCAGGACCGTGCCACAGACCTGTGAATTGTTATTGTCCTTCTAACCATGTAACTCCTGATTCTCATCCTTTCTCTCCTCCGTCCAATCTCAAAAACATCCTGACTGATGTTAGTTTGGAGGGTGCCGAGCCAGGATCTGCAAAGTGGGATAATCATACCACCTACCTTACAGAGTTATGTGAGGCTCACATGATGGAAATCACTTTATACACCTTAAAGCACTATAGAAATGCTTGCTGTTATTATTATTATTACTAACCTATACTTCAAAATATTTTTGTAGATGTGCTTTGAATTGGACTGATGCCAGGCTAGCTCATGCCTCGAGACATTTTCTTAGAATTGGTTGAAGCGGAAGTATTTGTACCTATCAATCAACCAACAAGATTTATTAAGCTCTTACTGTATGCCAGGCACTATGCTAAGCTCTGAGGATACACAGACAGGCAAAAATGAGAGTCTTTGCCCTCATGGAGCTCACAGTCTAACGGGAAAGACAAAAAGGTACATTGAATATATAAACAGAGTATTTGGAAGGCGCCCAAGAGAAGACATTAGCAGGGGACTGGGGAATCTCCTACAATAGAGGGGATTTAAGCTGAACCTTGAGGTCAGGGAAAGCAAGAGGCAGAGATGATAGGGTAGAGTGGTCCTGGCACGGGAACGTGTGTTCTCACTAGCTCCCACAAAAGGAACTGAGATGGGAGATGGGATGTTGGATTTGAGGAAGGACAAATGGACCAGTGTTGCTGGAACATCAGCTGTGGACCTGACCTTCGTCAGAGTAGATGAGGCCTATTGGTATGGACTGGCTGAGCCATCTATCCATCAGCATCAGCTCATACTACCCAGGATCATGACCGAGTGTCAGCTGACCTAACACTCAGTGGCATTTCAGCCAGCCAGTGACCCGGGATGAGAGAATGCCAATGTTGCTACCCCTGTTCTTCTCCTCCACTCCTTCTTCCCACAAGAAGGTGATTGCAGGCAGTAGCTTCCTCTTACTTTACTAAATAATAAATTCTCTACGAGAAGCTTAATACAAAGGAGAAAAGGTAGGTTGGGGAGAGGGAGAGACCCTACGGTGCTTCTGCTAAGCTGCTCAATGATGGGCCTAGGCAGGATAAATTTCCCTTCACACCAAATGTGTTGCTTTCACAGAATGGAAGAATGACCCATCTGGGATTTATTGTTCCCCTGACAGCCTTGCAGTAATGTGAATTTGGAAGGGTAGAGGAGCATGCACTTCTAGCTGGGCCTCTTTATCGGGTGGATTCTTAGGAGGCAAAGGGAGGACGAGGAGGGGGAGGAAGGCAATAGCAGTCTCCTACTAGTTGGAACAGCATATCCACAAGGCCCTGTGTCTCTGTGGCCCCATACTAACCCATCTATAGCCTAAAACAGGAAGCTGACATTTTCCACCAGCTTTTCAGGCTGGGTCTAACCTCATCACATAGAATGAATGGAAGATTTACTAGTCTAAATGTCAAGGAGGTAGTCAGTCAACAAGCATTTATTAAGTGTTTGGACCTCAGGCCTCTCTGACCCCCAGTTACCTTCCCAGGACACCCGTTCCTCCTCCTAGGTCCCATCCACAGGACCTTACCTTTGAGCCCAAAACTCCTTTACCTTACACTCCTTAATATGGCTCCTTGAACCCCTCACTCAAGTTCTGGGGCCTCCTGCCCTGAGCCTCTTTGTATCCAGAGTTCACAGACCTTTTGTCTTTAAACCTGAAATTTCCTTCTGCCTTCTGTTACTAGTACCACTTCTGGGTGCCCTTTCTGGATCCTATTTATGGCCTGATTCCTATTCTCTTCTTGCGCCATCTCTGATGAGCATTATATAATTGACAGAGAATCAACCTTGAATCCAAGAAGACTTGGTTAAAGTCCTGCCTCTGAACTAGACTGCCCATGTACCTGGGCACGTGCTCTAGGTAAGTCTCTAAGTTGCAGAGAAGATGCCAACCTGCATTGGTGGAAGGAATTTCCTCACCTGGGAGTTCCCTATACCAATGTGATCACAGTTCAGTCCCTGTCTTCAATCTCATATTTACACACTCCAGACCGAGAGGGTATTTTCCAGGATTTATCAAGGGAAGTTGAACATACAGATTCAAAAACAATATGTTGGCAAGGTAATTCCTCAGTTTCTCCCAGATCCAACCTGGCTACTCTGATTACTCCTTAACTGTCACTCTCTCCTCTTCCCTTTATCTTCCCTCCCACCTGTAACCCCAGGAGAATAAACATGCCCCAAACCAAGTTGGAGATTGACCCGCTTGAGCTCTCCAGAGCTCACTCATTCCCTGACTGTTTAGCCAAGCCCAGCCTCATTTTCAGCCAATCAGAAAGCATCTTGATAGAAGAGCAACTCTATGGTCTTCTGCCCTCAGATCATAGTGGGCTGAGAGGAAACTTCCCCTTGACCAACCTGTTCAAGTAAGGAAATGTAAACAGTTAAGATCTATTTCTGTTGCTTCATGGTCAAAATGTAAAGTGAGGGACAGTAAGTCTTTAAAAAACATACCCCACTTTTTTTAAAAGCATGGAAGCTCTCACCTCTCTCTTCCACTTGAAAACAAAACAGAACAAAACAAAACAAAGCCTTTCCCACTCTTCTCTCCGTGAGAACAATTTGTTCTAACAACACCATGGAGGCAGTTTAAGCAGGAGATGTAGAGCTTGGTCAGACATCAAAGACATTAAGATCGTCCTCTCCATCCTGGACCCTCACCAGTCATCTTGACTTTTGACCTGTCACTGAATTTTGATGGCTCAGGAAGAGAGAGTGAGGCTGAAGACTTTACTCAATTCTGCCTCACTTCAGTCCATTTTAGGCACAAGTCGAGACCTCACCCGTGACGTCATTGGTCCTTGAAATAAAGGATGGATAATGGCACCATTAAGAATCACCCCTTTTGGGTTAAGGTATTGCTTTCAGGTAACTCTTGTTTATAAAAATAGGAGTCTGGATTTTCACCTAAAGGCCATAGGGAGTCCTGAAGCTCTTTGAGCAGGGGAGTGATATGGTCAGATGTATGCTTTAGGGATATCAGTTTAGAGGTTGTGTGGAGGATAGATTGGCAAGGGCTGAGGTAGAGACATCAAATAGGCCATTGCAGTACTGTAGGTGGGAGATAAAGGCTCGAGCTAGGACAGCTGGAGAGAAGGCGATGGAGGAGAGAAATGTTGTTCTTTGAATCTATGATCAGTAGTATTCAAGGTGGGATTCAAACCAAGGTCTCTCCTGACCCCAAATCCAGCATGCTTTTCATTACACCACAGATGTAGAATGGTCACAATGAATATTTTGCCATCTCTAACCCCCCATTCCATTTTGTCAGAAGAGGAGAAGATGAGAAGTGAGGATGAGGCGAGGCAGTTGGGTGGGAGGGATCATGGAGGATGCACCAGAGTGATTTTCACCATCAAGCTCTGAAGCATTGGAATGCAAACCAATCTAACAAACCTTTATTGAGCACCTACTCTGTGTAAGTATTATGGTAGACATGAGGAGACAAAGACAAACTGAAAGATGGTTCCTGCCCTCAGGGAACTTATAGTCTACTAGAGGGATACAGCATGTAAACAGAAGAGTCTACTCTAGGATGAGAGTAACTGAATGGGGGTACAGGACATGAAGAAAGCTGGACAAGGGGATTCTAAGAGGTGGAACTGAGGAAGGAATGCATTCTAGGCATGAGAGATAGCCAGGCAAAGGCATGGAGGTAGGAGATTACTGTATTAATGTCTTTGGTTTTCATGTCACCATCATTTTTGGACATATCCTTTGCCCCACCCTCCCTGCCTCGACCCCTTCTTAGAGCAAAAACTTCAGGGAAAACAACAGCAGCATTGACTCCAAGAGATGTTTTAGTCAACTTTCTATGTTTGTGTAATCCCCTGGCTCTATCTCAAGAGGACGGATATGTTTCATAATCCGTTCTCTGGCGTTATTTTGCAGTTTTGAACACTTAGATTTTATCTTCTTTCTTAGTGTTCTTTTCATGTGCAGTGTTCTAATCCTGTTTTCCTGGAGGCAATAAGCAGCCACAGAAAATTCTTGAGGAAGGAAGTGATATGGTCAGACTTGGGCTTTAGGAAGACTAGGGAAGCCCTTTCTCTTTTTCTTCATCCCACTTCAAGGAGTTAATCAAAGACCTCCCAGTACAAAAGAGTCTGTGCTTATTATTGCCACCAGCTGAGACCCATCACTGAATCTATTGGGAAGCAGTTTGCCACCGGTGAAAAGAATGCTCAACTTTCAGTCACAAGACCTGAGTTCAAATCCTGGCTTTGCAACTTACTATCTGTGTGATCTTGGGAAATGATTGAATGAAAAGGCATTTATTAAGCACTTACTATATGCCAAGCACAGGGGCTCCAAATAGAAAAGCAAATATAATCCTTGTTCTCAAGGACCTTGCTTTGGCAATAAGAGGAAACAACACATCTAAGGGTATGATGACCTGGGAGAAGTAGTTTTGTCTGGACGGTTGTAGAGATGGTGGGTGGAGCCACAGGGGAGTAGACTGACATACCCTGTCCAGGATCAATAGCAGAATTGATTTGATTATGGTCTGAGAACTGGGAATTGGGGGTGGGAGGCGAGATGGTTGGGAGTAAAACGAAGCATGGTTGTATATGTCACCACATATAGTGGGACACGTGATCACTAATCAGGAAAAGTCACTGAGCCCCTCAGTTTCCTCATTTGTAAAATGTCTCTGTTTAGTGAGGGTCTGGACTAGGTGGTCTCTAGGCCTCCAGGGTCCCTTCAGTTGAATCTATGATCCTGTGGTCCTAGTGGCTGCTGAGTGAAGTTTACGCCCCTTGGCCAGGCATTGAAGGACTTCCCTACACCAGCAACTTGCTACCCTCCTACCTTCATTTTGTATTACTCACTTCCAACCAAATGGGACCGCTTGTCTTCTCTGTGGACTTTCTGTGCTTCCTCACCTTCTGGACCTTTGCTGAAGCTGTTCTCTAGACTTCCCTCTCTCTCTTCCCTATTGAAATCTTATCCTTCCTTTAAAGTCCAGGTCAAATACCATCTCTCCCAGGAAGCCTGATGCTCGGATGCTTAATTGTTAGTGACCGGGTTGGCCGATAATGGCCTTTCCCCGTGTTGGACCCTGAAAAATTCTCTGTGTATGTCTCCCTGATGCACTTATCAAGGCCATGACTAGCCCCAAGCTAGCTGGTGGTAGTAGCAGGACTTTATCCAAGGTCTCCCCTCTTAGACCAGCAAGGCAGCAGAAGGCAGCCAGTGAAGGAGATGTGTTTGCATAGTAGGGAGTTTTTGGGGCCTCTCAAAATCATTCCATGTAGACCAATCTCTAGGTAATGTCTCAGAAAACACACACACACACACACACACACACACACACACACACAAAACCCCATTTAAAAAAAGTTTGAAAGCTTTGTTTTTTAAATTACAATTCCCATTTCTCCCTGCTCCACCCCCAAGGGAAATCAGACTTATGGTTATATTCTTTTATTTCCAAAAGGTTTGACATCTTAAAAATGTATATTTCAATGTTAAAATATACAAATGAGCCATTGAGTGGTTTTATTTTACTATTAGAACATCATAAAGACTTGTAGAGTCTGAAAAGAGCAGATTCAGAAAACACCAAGATTCTACTGAATGTAAGTTGAAAGAATAAGAGAAAAGGAATGTGGGAAGAGCTGGGCACTAAGTCAATCAGGGATTCTTAATCTGGATCCCACAGGGGTTTGTGGAGCTATCTCAGTGGGGCTGGGAACTTAGCGGGTTATTTTCATTCATCTCTAATGGACATTTTGCATTTCCTTCAACTACTTAAAAACAGGATTCTGAAAAGGGGGCCAGAGGTGTCACCAGACTAAGTGCTAAAGGGGTCTGGGACCCCAAAATGGTTAACTAATTAACCATTATTTAGATAACCATTATGAATTAAATGAAATTTTAAAAATCTTGAAAAAATGTATTTCCCTCCAAACAACAAAAAGCTAGTAGTTTCACATGGTGGTGTAGTGGATAGGTGCTGTACTTGAAGCCAGGAAGGCCTGGGATTCAAATCTTGCTTCCGATCCTTTCTAACTTTATAGGCCTGGTAAGAGGGCTCAGGGAACTTTCTAGAATGTAGTTACTAAATTATTGGCTTGAGGCAGCTTGGTGGTACAGTAGATAGAACGCCAGGCCTAGAGTCAGGAAAACTCATCTTCCTGAGTTCAAATCTGGCCTCAGACACTTACTGGCTATGTGACCCTGGACCCTGTTTGCCTCATTTTCCTCATCTATAAAATGAGAAGGAAATGGCAAACCCCTCCAGTATCTTTGCCAAGAAAACCGCAAATGGGGTCATGGAGAGTCAGACAGGACTGAAACAATGATATTGGTGGAAGGGGTGGAGTTGTTTTAGCACAAACTAGCTGTGCTTTAAGGTTTATAAATATTCTCTCATTTTGTCTTTACAACTCTGGGAGGCAGGTGTTATTATTATCCCTATTTTACAGATGAGGAAACTGAAGCAGACAGGTTAAATGACTTGCTCAGCATCACATTAAATATCTGAGGGGAGATTTGAACTCATCTCCCTAACTTCAGTCTCCTGGGTCACCCAGGCGCCTCTAATATAGAGGAGATAGAAGAGTGAGAAGACAGTGTAATTATATTTACAAAATAATTGTTAGGCCGCAGTAGACTTAGGTATTCTATGTATTCGTTAAACCTTTGGTCCCATGTATTTTTCACTCTGTGTTGTCTGGTGAGCATTTCAAATTCTGTAGAATCATGATACAGAGAAAAATCTTGTCAATAGAATCCATTGAAGGACCTGGGGAATCAGTGACTACCTCAGTCTTTGGAGGGCTGTCAGAGGGAAGAGGGAGGAGGCCCACCAGAAGACTGGAAATCTAGAGTTGAGGCCATGGAGTTCATCCCTTCACTTTTCAGAGGAGGAAAATAAGCCCCAGGAGGGGCAGTGACTTGTCCAGGGTCACACAAGGTTCTCAGTGGCAGAAGTGGGTTTTCATGCTCTTTCCATTGCCCCTTCTGTCTCTCTAGACTTGTCCTTCTTGGCCTCAGAGGACAGAACAGGGGGCAAAAGGAGAGAGGCAGGTTTAGGCTGAATGCAAAGAAATAAATTCCTAACACAGCTATCTCACTGTGGAATGGGTCACCACAGGGACATGGAAGTTTCCCCTTCACCGAGGTCTCCCAGCTAGACTGGAAGACCACTCATTAAGGGTGTTGTTAAGGGGTTTCCGGGTCAGATCTTCGGGGTGGGACTTAATGATTCCTGAGGCCCCTCCCAGCTGTGTGTATGACTAGGAAGAAGAGAAGGTGAGTGGTTAGAAGGAGTGACCCAAGGCGGACAGCCTGAGGCTGTTCTCAACCCCCAGCTGTTAGAAGAAAGGAGAAGGGCCCTCCTTAACACATCGTATGAGTCCTATATGGAGCCTGGACGGAAAGCCATGAAAAAGAAATGGGGGGATGAGTGTGTGGAGGGGTTCCAGTCTGTGTTTGGGGAAGGACTTTCCATGCTGATGAGATATCCTAGCAAAGTGTAGATGTACTGCTTACGTTTTCTGCCTTTGCAGAAAAACTTGCAAGGTGCTGCAGGCTTTTCATTCTTACTTTTCTTGCCCTTAGTTATCTGAGGCTGAGGGAGGAAGAGGAGGGTATTTGACATGTGCCAAAGTCCTCAGGCATTGGGCCAGAATTTAGGCCAGAGAACTGGCGTCAGGGAGGAGATGTACACAAAGCCACCCTCTGTCTGTTCAAGGGTCAGCAGTGAAAGGTCCAGAAAGGCGAGCACTCATTTTAGAGCAGGGCAGGCTCAGGACATGAAGACTCAGCCAACAGGGTCATCACCCTAAGGGACAGCTCTCTAGGCTTCTGCTCTTCCTTTCAGCCTGCTGCTAGTGGTCAGTTCCTTTGTACTTACCAGCTGTTCTGTGCCTATCTGTGTAAGTGTTGTATCCCCTCTGCAGAGGAGGTGATTAATAAATCCTTGCGGAATTGAATTACCTTGACCTAGGGGCTTCAGTATCCACCTGCATCACCCTATGGCTTCTCCTAACAGATGATGTGTAGACATGTGGCCACACCTGGACAGTACTATGGGTATCTGCTGCTCATAGCTCTACCACCTGCCACCTTTGGGGGGCCACCTGGCACATGCCCAGGGGGCTTCTGGGTAATCCAGCTGCCACCTTTGGGGGGCCACCAGTCATGTGCCCAGGGGGCTGCTGGGTGATCTAGCTGCCACCTTTGGGGG